GAGAGAGAGAGAGAGAGAGAGAGAGAGAGAGAGAGAGAGAGAGAGAGAGAGAGAGAGAGAGAGAGAGAGAGAGAGAGAGAGAGACTGAAAAAGAGGGGCACAGAAAGAGACAGAAAAAAGGGGGCACAGAGAGAGGGACACTGGGACAGAAAAAGGAGGCCACACACACACACACACAGAGAGAGAGAGAGAGAGAGAGAGAGAGAGAGAGAGAGAGAGAGAGATGTAGAATAAGGTAGTTTCTGTCTTATTGAGGGCTTACCAATGAAACAACAATGTCATGTTCTCAAGAGCAGAAGATCGAGGAAGAAAGCACCATAAACCGCATTTACAACACGGAAAGAATCAATTTTTGGAAGAGAGGCGCCTCAGCTGCACCCTCCATCGCTCGGTTTGCCGTTCCTCCTGGGAAAAATTTATGCCTACTTCTGTACATCTACCTCAGCACGCCGTGATTTCCTCCCACTCCCCGCCCCATTTCCATCTCCACCATTATCACTCCGACGAAGCATTTTCCCCGACGAAGACTCTCACACGACGCCAGCCATCGTTGTCCACGAGGAAGACACACACGTCCGCTCTCGTAGCTCTACCCGTCCGTACCCGTCCGTACGACGTGGACGACGTACGTTACCCACGTCGTACGGAATCGTTCCTCAAGAAGTCTAATTTTTTACTACCAAAATCGTTGCTCAAATATCGTATGGAAACGTGCACGAGTGAGACTCTGAGGGAGAAATAAAAAGAGAGGGGTCGAAAGAGACCCACCAAACGAGCTATATGAGCTGATTAATCAACCTATCTATTTACTCACTGACCAGTGACCACCACCCGATCCCGACAAACTGCCGCGCTATCGACTTCTGTACGTACGGCTTGACCGCTCTTGCATTTGCCATCTGTTATAGCTGACCTCAACCCGATCCCGATAACACCAGTGTACGGACACTGTACGTACACTCTGCTTATCGTCATCATCATACAAAACAACCAACTCACAGCTGTACGTACACTCTGCTTATCATCAACATGACCTCAACCCGATCCCGACAACATGAGCGTACGGCTGTACGTACACTCTTCTGCTTATCATCAACGTGACCTCAACCCGATCCCGTCAATGACAAAAGATTCCGCAAAAAGCAACCAACTCCCGCTCCATGAGAATAATCAGAACTTCAGAAGCGATTTCTCTACAACTTGTACAAAAGGTCGAGAGCGGAGGTGGCTGATCCGGCCGGGCTAAACCCTCATATTTTCGTCTTGTCGATGCATCTAGACGAACGGTCGTCTAAATCCAGAGCCCGACAACCGAATCGAGCCCAGTACTTTCAAAAGGAAGCCAAGCAGTTAAAAAAAAAAAAAAAAAGCCAAGCACTGGAACGCAAATAAACTGAAGCATGCAATCCCCAGGACTTCCACGTCCACGTCCACGTCCACCATCCGACACATGCACACATGTGCCCTCCCTCTTTGACGGTTTCACCCGCACGCAGCAGAAAAAAAGGTTCTCACACCCATCAAATGGGTAAGTTAGCTGGGTATTAATTAGGGGATCCAACAGTGAAGAAAATGATAAGGCAAGCATTTCGAAATGACGACTTCAAGTCTTCAACCATCTTCTTCTCTGCTCATCCGTAAGTTGAAGAAGAGGAATAAAAGGAGAGTGCATGGGGCCGCTCGACTTCAACTTCTGTCCGGTTTGTTTCGTGAAATTCATTTCAACTCCGTCTTTCAGTGACGCCCTTGATGGTAGCCGTCGGCGCCTTGAACTGCCTGCGAGTCCTCAACCAGCAGTATAGCTGAAAAAGGATTCTACCAGTATGTTATCCAACCGCCACCATTCCACCGCACAGAAGGGACGTGGTTCCTAGATATCCACATCGGATGCTTCGTCCTTATATACTCTCTCTCTCTCTCTCTCTGTCTCTCTGTCTCTCTCTCTATGTGTCTGTGTGTGTGCGAGTGAGTGCGTTTGTATGTGTTTGCGTGTGTGTTCTGCTTTGTGCGTGCGCGCGTGCGTGTGCGTGCGTGCGTGTGTGTGTGTGTGTGTGTGTGTGTGTGTGTGTGTGTGTGTGTGTGTGTGTGTGTGAGTGTGTGTGTGTGTGTGTGTGTTTAAGAGAGGATGCAAATCGATCATTTGCTCGTGCAACAGTGCGCAGCTACACACAGCGACCTCCGTCCCGAGAGTCGCACGCTCCTTCGACAAAAAAATGAAGGGCGGAGCTCTCTCTCTCTCTCTCTCTCTCTCTCTCTCTCTCTCTCTCTCTCTCTCTCTCTCTCTCTCTCTCTCTCTCTCTCTCTCTCACG